TATGATACACATAAGTCTAATATTAGATAGGCAAAGGTTTTTCCTTTGATTTAATTAGTTGCTTAAATTTCTGCTACTGGAAATCTTCTTTTTATTTTTCAGTCTTTCACTACTCTTCTCTTCATAGTCACCATAGGAGCTTCCCTAGGGTCTTATTTATTTTCAAGGGTTATATTTTATTCATTTCTTTTTTTTTTCTCTTCTTTTCAGGGCCATTCAACCACTGAGATGCATCTCCAGCCCTATTTTGTATTTTATTTAGATACAGAGTCTCACTGAGTTGCTTAGTGCCTTTCTTATAGGCAACAATATACACTGATGTCTTGTCCCAAGATTACGGTAACATAAGAAAATGCTATTTTCTGGATATTTTGTAAAATAGTAAGATGATCCATTACCACTGGGGATTGAACTCAGGGACATTTAACCACTGAGCCACATCCCCAAGCCTATTTTGTATTTTATTTAGAGACAGGGTCTCACTGAGTTGCTTAGGACCTTGCTTTTGCTGAGGCTGGCTTTGAACTTGTGATCCTTCTGCCTCAGCCTCCCGAACTGCTGGGATTACAGGTGTGTGCCACCTCGCTCAGTTTCCACTGATGTTTTTTGACCTGGTAAATACTTTGCAAACTTTTGTTAAAATTCATGTCCTCCATAAGAAGACAGATAAACCCTACAGTAATTGCATGTAAGAATGTGCAATTATAAGAAGAGGCAAAAAACCAATAAACTTTTGGTATATAGACAAGAAACCATCACAGAATTATTGGAGATAAAAGAATTTTACCTGGAGATTTTAGGTAAACGTTAGGGACTAGATGGACATTAAATTTGATTCCTTTAAGGACATATTGAGATATCTTAAGTGTAAGAGAAGAACAAAACAGTAGTTACAATCAGAGGAAATACAGTAGAAAACATTATGAGCTGATCACCAAATCTATTTTTATTTCTTCCTAGACATAACTTCCCTTTGTGGTTAACTCTGGTGATATCATTTAATTTTGGAACAGGTCCATTAATTTTGGAGTAGGTCGGGAGACATGTAGTCTAGTTGCATAGCCTAGCACCTAGTGATTGAGATGAAAATGTAAAAGCTTAATCATGATTGGCTAAGGTATAGGAAAATATTAAAAACAGTGTACTCAATATCTTAGGTAATCAATATATGTGTGAAAAGATTGTCACTCTTGAAAATCATGTCAATCAAAGAAGTTTTGTATTTTGAGGCTATCCATTAAGTACCTGGAAAAACATCTATAAAAAAGGTATAAAAATAAAGGCCCCTGTAAGGGAAGCAGATTTTTCTGGAGGCTGCGCATAACTTGCAACCTGTCGCCCCATCTCTTCTTTTGCCTATACCACTCCTCCTTCAGGACCCCTGGTCCCCACGGGGGATGGACCCTGGCATCCATTAAGAAAAATTAAAGGAATGACAACAAGTTTATTCTCAGCTCTGCCTAGTAATTTTTTATAAACAAGCCCCTATAGGGAACCCTTAGGACACAATATGCAGTTTGAATGGTTATTACTTACTCTGTGAATGATCCGATCGTTATCTCACAATGCCCAGTAGAACAAGTTTTACTTTATCCTACTGGGAATCTCTTACAAACATTAGGGGATTTCAAAACATTTTAAATACGAGTTTGAAATATAAAGAAAAAAAAAAAACTTTCCTCCAGTTTGTAGTTTCTGAGGAAAATCGGTACAGAAATGATACTGCTTCTTTCTATACCTTTCATGTTACTTCCAGAAAATGAGCATATTTCCTGTTTTCCAGTGGTTTATACAAGTTGGGTGAGAGTACAGAGATGCTTCTAGTTTTCATAATGATAGATTTGTGATCTGTTTATAAGAAAACAAATTATCTGTGTAAAAAATTAAAATCCTAGACAAAATGTTTTAAAACCCAGGGACCCAAACTCTTGGCAGACAAAAGTAAGGCTCATGTGAATATGTATATTTTAATTAGTATTTTACTGTGGCAGTAACATAATTTTAGGGAAGTTTCTACTGATTAGCATAAGAATTAAAAATTTAAATAATAATGATAAAATAAATTCAACATATTCAGAATTTATAATATGAAAAGTTTTCTTAATTGAGTATAAGTTATGCTGTTCCAATTTCACTTGTAGTTTTCAGAATGAGAAATTCTGGCTGAGGTGTGTGTGATAGAGAAGAATAAAAATGTTTTAATTTCGGGCTGGGGTTATGGCTCAACGATAGAGTGCTTGCCTAGCATATGCGAGGTCCTGGGTTCAATTCTCAGCTCCACACAAAAATAAATTAAATGAATGTATTGTGTACAACCATAACTATGAAATAAATATCTTAAAAAGTTTTAGTGTCATAGAATCATGAGAATATGAGATAGTCATAGAAAATAACTTCAATAATGTCCTTTTTTGTCTCCCTGGATTTTATATATAACATCTGAGATAAAAAAAATTACAAAAGTTACTAAATCTTGGCTAAATTACACATTGCAGAATCTAAAATTAGAAATATAAAAAAATTGATTCCTTGAGATTACTAAAAAACCTGGGCAAGTTAATTCAGGTCAAGTATATTATGGGTTTTAATTTTTCTTTAATATTTTGACCTTGTGCATGCCAGGGTTCTTCATGAATATATACTTAAAAGCAAAGATTCTAAAACCCATTCATTTTTGTTTCAGTGAAGATGGAATAAGAACTCCTAATGGTTCTTTTTATGGCTCTTTCATTCTTAGAAAAATAAAATTTCATTCATATTTTAATATTAGATGAAATCCAATTTTCTGATATTTTCACATAATAAATTTTTAATGTGTGGAGATATATTAACAATTTTACAACTTTGTTTTAAATTTTTTTCAGAGATTATTTATAAATCATCAAAGAAACTGCCATACTTCATGCAAGCATTAGCTAAATATTTGGAGCAGTGACAACAAATAAAGTTCACTGGAATAAATTTAATAAGAATATTAATGAAACAAACAGAAAAGAAACCAACTCTGAAAAACATTTTATTGTGTTTGAATTCTTGACTTATATAGTTATGGTTAACATTAGAGTAGTAAATCCTGTCTACTCTTAATGCTCAAAAGCATTTACTGATTGATCATATCCAAAGAAATATGCTCATTTCCCTGAAGGTTATTTCCAAATTTAACTGCTTTTTAGGTACAGAAAATTAAACATGATTACTTACCAATTATACACTGTAATTTTCAGTGTCAAAACATCTCCTTTACTGTTAATGTGTTAGGGACTACACTGTCACAAATTTCTTTATGTATGTTCATAATGTATATGACATATATAAGCATATTACATAATTTCATGAACAAGAATCATATTATATGATCTTTACTTATGGAATGCTTATCTTGATATCTTCCTCTTGCCCTTTCCTCTACTTCCATATGAGAAAAGTCAGTGTTTGAACTTTTGTTTATTTCTTATATTTTTCATCATGTAAAAGATATTTTAAAAAGCATCACTTATTTTATAATAGTGAAATCATAATTATTTACTTGTTTCTGTATCTTATTCTTCTCAGATAAAATACATTGTAGTAATTCTCAATGTAGTTGGTCTAGTTCATTTCTTTTTAATGGCTAATTTTTATTCTACATTATGATTGTAATGTGATTTAACCACTTCACTGTGGAAAAGTCTGATCTTTATCACCATGACTAATAATGCATTGTGTATTCTTTGTATATTTATGTTTGCATAGTGATGTGCTTATTTCTAAGGAATTTACAAAAGAAAATGGTAGATTGAAAGATATAGTTTTGCTTTTTTAATTAACAGAACACTATAAAATTGCTTTAAAAAGGCCATGGCTATTACTATTTCCACAGTGATATACTAGGGTATCATTTTCTCATATCAGTCAGCAGTGGAAATTTTTATACATTTTAATTTATGTTAAAATAAAAAAAGGTGTGTGTGTCTGTGTATTTATGTGTATGTGTGTTTATTCATATGACATATAGAGTTAGGCATCTTTAATTTAATTTTTTAATTTTTTAATTTGTTCACTTGTAAATATGTGTTTTCATTGTTTTTTACTTATTCTACTTTTGGATTGTTTTCCTTTTTTTTCTATTTGTGCCAATAATTTTTATAATATAGACACAAATCTCTAGCTGTCATATTTATAGTAAAACAAATTTCCTAATTTGTTTTATGCCTTTTGTCTCTATGAGATATTTTTTCTTATATCTTATAATTAGGTAATGATAGTTTTTTTTACTGACTTTCTTAATTGTGGAAGAAATTTCTATAATTCATATGTTACATTATCATACTGTAAATTTTATTAGAAAAGATCTATGGTGTGAGATAAGAGTCTAACTTTATTTCTAGAGACAGAGCCAACAATCTTAGAACTTTCGATTAAACAAATCAGTCTATCCTTGAAATATTATTGCTTACATTAATTTCTATGCATATTGAATCTATACTTTTTTGTCTATTCTATGCAGTATCTTAATGTTTTGACTATTAAAACTTTAAATTACAGTTCTATATTAATTAAAGTAATCTTGGCTATTAATACTATTTATATTCCTGGAAAAAATAAACAATGTTTTTTGCATGAATTTTTTTAAGAATTTATTTTCACAATACTTTTATTCTTTTATTTTTATACAGTGCTGAGGATCGAATCCAGGACCTCACACAAGCTAGGCAGGTGCTCTACCATTGAGCTACAGCCTCAGCCCTTCACATGAATTTCAAGATAAGCATATGCAGTTCTAAAACTTTGTTAGACTGAAAAGATTTGCATTAAATTTATATGTCACTTTAGGTGAATAATTATGTTAATATATTTGATTATGAAGAATTTTGAGTTTGTTAAGTAGACAAAGATAAAAATTTTAAACTATAAAGATGAGAAACACCTCTCACAAATACATTAGTCACACAAGAATGTTACCAATTTTATATTTCTCATTGAGCATTTTCTCACTTGTTCTTTCATTTTAGTGATTATCCAGGTCAAACATGGCAGAAGAAAATATGACTCTGGTGACTGAGTTTGTTCTCACAGGACTTACACATCATCCAAAGCTGAAGATGCCCCTGTTCCTGGTGTTCCTTGTGATCTACCTCATCACCATGCTGGGCAACCTTGGCTTGATTGCTCTCATCTGGAAGGACCCCCACCTTCACACCCCCATGTACTTATTCCTCAGTGGTTTAGCCATGGCTGATGCAAGCACTTCATCCTCTGTGACCCCCAAGATGCTTATCAATTTTTTATCTAAAAATCATAAGATATCCGTAGCTGAGTGCTTTACTCAATTTTATTTTTTAGGTTCCAGTGCTACTACAGAATGTTTCCTCCTGTTAGTGATGGCCTATGACCGCTATGTAGCCATATGCAATCCCTTGCTATATCCAGTGGTGATGTCCAATAGCCTCTGTACTCAGTTTATAAGTGCTTCATATTTTGTTGGTTTTCTGCATTTAGTAATTCATGTGGGTTTGTTAGTTAGGTTAACTTTCTGCAGGTCCAATATCATACGTTATTACTATTGTGAAATTTTACAGCTGTTCAAAATTTCTTGCACGGATTCTACAGTTAACATGATCGTGCTTTTAAACTTTTCCGTCTTTATACAAGCCTTCACCTTTTTAAACATTATTGTGTCATATATCAAAGTCCTCTTTGCTATTCTTAAAAAGAAGTCTGAGAAAGGCAGACGCAAAGCCTTCTCCACCTGCAGTGCCCATCTGCTCTCTGTATCTTTGTTCTATGGCACTCTGTTCCTTATTTATGTTTGTCCTGGGTCTGGACCAGTTGAGGATAAGGAAAACATGTTTTCTTTACTTTATACAATAATAATTCCCCTGTTAAATCCTTTTATTTATAGCCTGAGGAATAAAGAAGTTATAGGTGCCTTGAGAAGACTAATGAAGAAATAAATATTTGTCAGACAAGTTTCATACTATTTCTTCTTTAGGAGAAAAAAGAAAAAATAATAAAAATAAAATCATAAATATTAGCCACTAGAGGGCTAATATTCTGTGAGATTGGTGAGATATGGGTGAATGAATCCAACTCCATATTTGCGGTCCAGTGCCATATTTAAATTACTTTTCTTATGGATTCAGTGAACACTTGGTAACATTACCCATCATTACCTTATTTAGAATTATTGTGCTACACTTTAGCTAAGCATTTAACTTTTACAAATTACCTATTTGCTAGGGACTTCCAAGATAATAGGTAGTAATTGACAATCTTACTGAGAAATGGTGAAAAATACATATCGAGAAAATCTCTAATTGACATTCCCATGTATAGTTACTTGAATGAGTCTAGTTTACCCTTCTGAACCTATGAGTTAATAAGGCTTTCTGATTCTTTGGCATACTAAACAACTCCCCTAGACCATGAAAAAAAAGTAAAATTCTGCTCCTTGGTAGAATACATTCCTGATAAGAAATGTACTATTTAGTGATACAAAGCAGCAAAACGTAGAATTTCAAAAATAGTTGAGCTTGGTGGTGCATGCCTGTGATCTCAGTGTCTTAGGAGGCTGAGGTAGGAGAAATTCAAGTTCAATGCCAGCCTTGACAATTTAGTGAGACCTTAAGCAACTTAGCAAGACCTGTCTCAAAATAAAAAAATAAGAGCTGGGGATATAGCTCAGTTGGTACAGTGCTTGCCTTGCATGCACAAGGCCCTGGGTTCAATCCCCAACACCAAAAAAAAAAAAAAAAAAAATTATTTTGGTCAAAATAAAATGATCTGGGGTATGGCTCATTGTTAATTGCCCATGGGTATAATCCTGAGTATCCCCCCCCAAAAAAAATTTTTAAAAATTCATCTATATATTTCTAGATCCATCTGTATAAATATATATCTAGATTTATTTAGGAAAAAAATGGGAGCATAAATTAAAATGTGTAGCTAAAAAATTATTTCAATTTATATTTATAATTCCACATTCTATTTTTATCAAGAATATTGCTATAAGTATTATACTTAATAATTCAGAAATTTAGGAATATTTTAGTGCAATCAAAAGAAATTTCCCACAACAGTCTTACAAAGAAAATACTGTTCCTATTAGTTTTAGTAGGAGCTGCTGAGCAGAATGAAAGGAAACAAGATCAGAGAAAAGAAACTGGATTAATATTTAAAGATAGGAGCAATAAATTGTGGCAGCAAATCCCTCTATATATACACACACTCTCTCTCTCTTATATATTATATATATATATATAATTTTACATATATACATGTACATATATACATATATATATAATTTTTAAGTGATCATGCCTCTGTGAGGTAAATTAATGGTTGAGAATTTTACATTTTACATTTTTTTAATACCTTTATTTTATTTTTATGTGGTGCTGAGGATTGAACCCAGTGCCTCATGCAGGCTGGGCAAGTGCTCTTCCTCTGAGCCAAAACCCCAACCCCAATATTTTACATTTTTACATAGACATAGATGATACAACTCTTAAACAATTATATTTCTTTAGCAATCTCTTTTTCCCCTAGCATATTTTTTAGAAAATATAATCATATTGAAAAATAATTAAGTTTAAATTTTTGAAAAATGAAAATATGATTTTTGTTCTACTATTTTTAAAACCTCTTTTGCATTTGTCAAGTGAATAGCTCCAACAATTACACTAAATGTGTTCTGCAAAGGTTTAGCTGTGTGATATCTTTTGTTACTGAAATCTGTTTGTCATATGTAGATTATTAGAAAACAACTTATTTGTATAATCATAAATTAATCTTATGACCATACAAATAAGTTTATGATTAATTTATATTAATTTGTTAATTAATCAGGGACATTCAAAGATGTATGATTTCTCAATAACAGAATTTCTTGTAAAATGCCTCACATGATTAAATTTATTGTTTTAAAAACTATCAGTATTTGCAGGTAATTTCTTGCAATATCATGCAGTCTCTTAAAATCACTTTTTTTATTTAGCAAAATAAATTTCTAAAATTTACTGCATATCTTCTTAAAGCAATTTCCTAAATACTTTTTAGATTATATAAATTTATATAAATTTATTTTTTCATATACCCAGTATGTCATACTTTATTTAAAGAGCTGGTTAGAAAAAATGTTACTATTTTTATAATCTTTTATTATTCCTAAAATTATACCAGGAAACATGAAGTCATATCAGGATTATTTTTTAAAAAATTTCAGCTATTATATTACTTTAGAAAGAAAGGCTAACAGTTTTAACTAGTAGTTTTTCTTCCTGTTTAAGAGTCTCTTGAGTAATTGGCATTTAGACAATCTTGCAATGTCAACTCAAGATATGCATCAATTCAGAATAAATTTCTGGAATTGGTCCTGAATTGATTGCTAATTTGTAATGTTCCTGGGTATATTATATCATTGGTCAAGATTCTTTATATATTATCTGTATTTTATATGCTGCAGCTGTACTGAAAATAGAATTGAGGAAGACATTCCTCAAAGTGCTAGGTGACAAGCAAATTACTTGAACTGAGAGACCATGAACCTTGCAACTTCCCTGGGTGGATTTGATTTATACCTATCAGTTTGCATTCTGTGATTGAGACTTGGGAATCTGCATGTGGTATTCTTGCTTAAAGGTAAATAAACTTAGAAAATGCATTTGGCTAAATAAATACTGGGAGAGTCTATAGCACCTTGTGAGTTTGATTGTCATGGTATGCATGAAGTCAATAGTCATCGTCTTATGATGAAATGACCAATATGCAATAGGATGAGAAAGGAGGATCTTTTGAGACCGGTCCAGGGATAATTGCCATTAGGTTGAGGCTATTTTTTGAGGCAAATTAGGACAAAAACCTTATAAATGGGATTTAGATGATATAGTGTCAAACCTGTAGGATTAAACAGAATGAGATAATAAACAAAGGCAAATAGGAAAAATGACCAGAAACATTGCATGATTCTTATGATAGCACTAGTGAATGGAAATCTTATCAGAAGACATCAAGAAATAGACCTATGATTTAGCAAAGTGATAAGTCATAAAATGTTTCCTTGGAACCTGATATAAATCTCTCATGAAACCAGAAGTCACTATACTCACTGTCCAAGTGTAGGAGGACAAGTCCAGATGACCGTAGAAACTAGAGAGTCTTATTAAAGTAGGGATATCTTGCAACAGATAAATTCTAGAAACTTGCAACAGATAAATACTAGATTTTATTTGTTCACCTGGATACTGAGATTGATGAACAATGGACATATATTTTAATGGAAGGGAACACATTCAGGCTGAATGGAGGGACTTATATAGCCTGGTTACTCTGAACTTTAGTATAGTTTTCTCATTCCAGATAATGAAACACAGTTATTAAATTGTCTCTATGCTAAAAAGGATACCTGCCCAAATTTTTCATCTAATGATAAATGAGAGATACCTTCAGAGATCATATGAATGTACCAAAAGAACCCATCTTAGACTGAATATAAACAAACAATAGAATTAATCTAAATAGAAAACATTTCCAACTCTGAGGACAATTTGATGCTTTGGTGGTAGACACCAGTTACATTAAATTGTCTGTGGCACAATGGGAAGTATAAAAATAACCTCTAGAAATATCACCTCTATCTGAGTGTCTTATTAAATTTGATACTTTTGATAATGAAGGAATTAAATATTGCCTGCTGATTTCTTATTACACACTAGCTGTGTATACCTCTACCAATTCTGATTTGACATATGTATGAGACCTTTTTAAATTGTGAAGTTTTCTCTGTGATGATGATTTGATTTTGAACTAATTAAAACCACATATCTGGACGATACCACTAAGTTTGTGCCTTAATGAAAATGATTGTAGAAGCAGGATATAAATTCATATTGACTAATTATAGAGCAGTTCTGATAGCCTGTAGAAAAAAGACAGTTTATGATAGCTAGCAAGAATCTACTGAGGACTAAATGAAATGGTTCTACTGGAAGTCTTCTCTGTGACTTAAAACAGGTCTCTTAAGAGGTATGACAAAATAATAGTGTCTGAATGATGTAATAGAGTTGCCCAAGGATCTATAATTTTATTAAAATATCATGATAAAGTCAACCAATTTTTTTTCATTTTATAAAAGCATCCAATACATATCAGAGATAATTAATTCCTCCAGTGTAAACATATAACTTGGTTCAATATCTAGAATTGATCCCTGTGTAAAAATATTAGTTTTCATTGATATTATGAGAATTTATATCTCAGAGGACAAAGACACCTAGTAATTTAGAACTGCAGTGACATATGTGACTAAACCAACATGCCCAATAAATTCAGCTAAAACATACAGCCTTGTGCAAAACATAAGATTTGGGGAAATTAATTTAAATTGAGACCATACTAGACATTTTACCAATAATATATAACAAATTTCTGTTTTTGCAGACTTCACAGATCAGAAGACAGCTATCTGAATGTTGGTCAGTGTACTGACTGCACTTGGATAGATTTAGTCCTTTACTGAGATATTAAATAGAAATATAAGTTTTAGGACAAAGCCTAAATTTTAAGAAAATTATAAGTGATATTCTGAGCAGACTCCTTGGAACCATATTATCCTAAAGCATACATCATTGCAAAGTTGTCTCCTCTTTCATTGCATGAAGATTGAAGCTTATGAAAAATATCAATTCTGCCACACAATGATATCCATCAGAATTTTGAAATTTAAAATTTCTTGGTATGTGGGTAGGAAAATTTGAAAGACAAATGTAGTATTGTTGTTAAGACTTGGTGGAACTAGATCCCTCCATGGTAAGAGGGCAAATAATTTTAAAATTTGAGATAGTTATTGTGTTACATGCAATGCCAAGAAATATGTTTAAAATATGACGATTCAACAAAACTCATTGATTAAGTGAAAAGATCATATATAGGGGTATTCACTAATGGTGGCTCTAGG